AGATTGAAACTAAATATTTTTTTGTTTCGAAGTTGAAATCAAGGCATATTCACTGCCAAAAGTCAGTTAAAAATTTTCCATATTATTCGTTATTTCTTATTTTATTCAAAGTTTTTGGTCAAATTCCAAATTTTCTCTCAAACCGTATACTTTTTTTTAGTATAGATAGCATTTATTTACCTCATGATATGCTGCAAAACCTAATTAATCACGAATTTCTAATTTTATGTACTCTTGTGTCCGATTGTACCTCCCAAACATCCTTAAGAGCAGAGTCACTGTTTTTGTTATGTACAGTATGGATAAAATGAGGTCCTTCTCTCGTGTATGTGAAGGCTCATGAGATTGTGAACTAACTGTAAAGCTTTTGACTGCGCTCATAATGTACAGTGGACTTTCCCTATTTATTGAATCGCCTTTTCATCTTTTTTATAACTGTTTAACTATAGATTTTCTTCTGTATTCAATTCAAAACAGTATAAATAGTATTTTTGCTCAAGTTTAGTGAATGTTACTTAACCAAGAGTCCGCATGTTTCCGTGCTGATTAATTGGTTTCTTCATAATGCCGGTAAGTGTTAATTAAGGAAACGACTAATTATTTTTAATTAAGTACAAGTAGCTTAATGGTAGGTGTACTGCGCAAGAAGTAGTTTGGAAGGTTCTTCAGTGAATTATTAATAGCAGATTTTTAAATTACCGACTGCCTCACTAATTACCATCAGCGTACCACCTGGCAATAAATGAACGTCTTTATAAATTTACTGGTGATTTTTTTCTTTTTTGATTCTCCAAGTCCTGTCATAACTATCACAACGTTTTATACATCTACACGTAGAGAAGCGTTCGGTATAAAATAATTAGACGTGGAAAAAAACGTCATTAATTTTAAAACGCTCACGTAAAAGAAAAGAAACGAACAAAAACAAAGTTTCAATTAATTACTAGCCTTTTATTTCGCGTATCTTAATGGCTCCCATGTACACATACGGAAAAATTAAAATTGAATAAATACGGTGTTAATTATTGACTTATGATTTTATCCGTTGAGGGTTGGTTAAAATATGTTCATTACTGTAGGTATATATATTTATAATGATGGCTCTTGAAAGATAAATTTCGAATGTTAATATAGGTAATCATAAATACCTACATTGAAGCAAGTTTCTGTAAATGTTACAGATGAATGATTTTAGCTCATTAGAAATCCGAAATTACTTATTATATAGATTTCCTACTTCTTTGCATTTTTGAGTAGTGATATCCACCGGTCCGAGGGTGTTAAAGATATGATAATTAACATAATTAACATATTTTGTTCGAATTGAAAAAGTGTGAAAAAGAGTTTTTAACACTGGTTTGGAAAATAACGATTATTTTCCCGAATGCCAAATTGGCGCATTTTCGTAGTCTTCAAAATTAAAAAATTCGGGGGTTTATTTTAGAAATCTCTTTTTGAAGAAAGTTTTACTCTCAGAGTCTCTGAAAGCGAGACTCGGGTCTCCGTCTCTCATCGAGTCTCTCTGGTGTCGCTGAGAGGGACTGTCGAGAGACTGCCAAAAAAACTGTTTAGCGTCTCTGAACGAGAGACTCGAGTCGCTCATAGAGAGATCCTCATTTCGTATCCAGTCTCTGAACGAAAGACTCGAATCTCTCAATAAGTAGTGTCTCGATAGACATGGTTAAAATAGTCAAAGTTCAACTTATTTCAGAGATACCAGTCTTTCTACGAGAAACTCGAGTCTCTTAATTTTTCAGTTTTATTTATTCAGTCTCTCTGTGAGAGACTCGAATCTCTGAATTAACAATATTATCGTTCGAGTCTCTCATACAGAGACTGTGAGAGATCCATAAAAACACCTAGGCAATAACTGAGAGACTGTGA